CTCAATTTGTGCCCTCAAAGATCAAAAAATTTAATTTGCACCCTCAAAAATAAAAATTTGTATCAATGTGCACTCCCAAAAATCAAAAATCTAAATTTACAACCTTAAAGATAGAAATTTGTATCAATGTGCACCTAAAACTAACCTTTGTCAGTTTGCTACCTAAAACTAAATTGGTAAATTATACCTAAATCCCCTCATGCTTGTCATTTAACCATTTGAACTCCTTCATATTTAAAATATTACTCATATATCTTTTGATGTTTGTGCACATGTAACACGTAACCCATTTTCGTTGATATATGTTAATATAACCGTTAAAAAATATAATTTTATCCTAATAAAAAATTATAATTTAATATTACCCTTTATTTTATGGGTCCAATATAATCTAAAGTTCAAAATCAAGCTCACCATTTGAATGTCCAATTAAATAAAGGGTTGCACATTGAGTGATATATTACATTGGATATAAAAAATATTATATAAATATCTGCATTCAATTGGACATTCAAATAGTAAACTTGATTTTGAACTTTAAAATATATCGAACCCACAAAATAAAGGGTAATATAAAATTATTATTTTTTATTAGAATAAAATCATATTTTTTAACGGTTATATTAACAGATATCAATGAAAAAGAGTTATGTGTTATACGTGCACAAACGTCATGAGATGTAGGAGCAATATTCTAAATGTGAAGGGGTCCAAATGATTAAGTGATAACCATGAGGGGATCTAGCTATAATTTATCAATTTAGTTTTAAGTGCACATTGATACAAATTTATATTTTTGAGAGTATAAATTGAGATTTTTTATCTTTGGGGGTGTACATTGATACAAATTTATATCTTTGAGGGTACAAATTGAGATTTTTTTATTTTTAGGGGTACAAATTGAGATTCGAACTATCTTTCGGGGTGCAACTTATAATTAACCCCAATATTAACACCTCAAATTTAATAGGGAATAAACACTTAAAGGTGTGTATGAGTGACTTTTTAAAAGTATTTTATAACTTCTCATAAATATTTAAAAAAAAAAATAGTGTTTAGAACTGTCCCACCACCACAACTACAACCCCTGCCGCCAACCCACCACCACAACTACCCCCACCACCATCACTGCCACCCCCACCGCCTCACCCCTATTACCATCACCACTTCTGTTGTCACCATCCCATCACCCTTTGCCACAACAATTGTTGCCGCCAACCTACCACCACTATCACCCTTACTACCACCGCCGTTACCACCCCACACACCACCACCATCGTCACTGCTGTCACCCCACCACTGTTGCCACCGTTATTGCCCACCACTACCATCACCCATTGTTATCCACATCCACCACAGCTACCACTACCGTCATTCGCCACCATTCATCACACTATCGTATTGAAGAATCTGTCGTCACCCACCACCATCATTACCAACAACCATCACCATTGTCACCCATAACTACTGCTACTATTATCGTCGCCCAAAATCAACCATCACCATCACCGTTGCTATCCACGACTGCCACCATCACCATCATCGTCGCCACAACCATTACCGTCTCCTACCACTACTACCACTACCGCTAACCATCACTACAACTGCTCACCCTTATTACAATTGAGGTTTAAATTTTTTTTTCTCTCCTCTATATTTATGATTTGATTTTTAGTATAAATACAAATACGTTTATTGTTGACTATTTTTTTATTATTATTTTGTGCCTTCAGGCATAAGTAACAACTAGTACTTTATACTTGATAAACAAATTCAGTTCAATTCAAATCCTAATCATAATCACTTCGAACCGATAGTCGAATAAAATGAAAAAATTCTTGTAATTTTTGGGCGGAAAAAAATTTGAAGGAGGGATTTTGATCTTTTGATCAATAATCTTAAAATAATCTGAGCTGCAAAAAATTTAAAACAAATAATATTAACTCCCTTATTATACAGATGTTATTTTGCCAAAAGACAAACATCATGCTAGACATCCCAGGTATCCGAGATGCTTATATGGATGTACAAATGCATGTGTCGCAAGTATTCACCGAGGTGTAGTCATACATAAAACAGTTGCCCATCGTCAACCAAATTAGGAACACGAAAAAAATGCAAATGAGAAATGAGTATGGATCGCATCTACAACATGTCTTTGACTGCAACAAGAAAAAGGTTTTTTTTTTTTTTTTGTGTTGAGATTCTCATATAATCTTCAAGACAAACCACCGTGAGCAAGTAGGGACGGAGCTAGAATTTTCCGGGCTCAGAGAGAATACAAAGTATGCCATTGTCCCTTCTCACTAGGCACTCTCAGATTCAATTCACTTTTGCCATCTGATGATTCATGAAGCCCTTCTTTTACCACTAAATTTAGAGGTTTTGTCAGTACTATTTCATGGGAATGGACTTTTGTGACAAGCAATATGCAAGGGTGCGAAAAGACTTTGATTATTGCCATTTGCCGGACAATGGGACAAGAAGAGTTGGTAAAAGAGGGGCTTATCGACCTTGAATGATTTGGGGTTCAGCTACGTTAGGAAAAAATTTTCAGGAGTCTTACACACCACGTGGCGAAGCCCATGTGGTGAGCAAACCCAAACAACAGCCGACATCTAGGAAATTGTCAGGCATATAAAAAAAATCGGTAAACATAACATTTTCCTAGTAATAGTCATCAATTGAGCTCAGATCCTTTAATTGAAGTAATGCCCGCCCGTACAAAAATGCGAGTTTCTAGAATTAAAAATCTGTAATGGATGCAATTATAGTACTAAATTATTATTTTTTTGTATCGGATCATTATTTTTTATATAATAAAATTATGTCAAGTCTTAATTTTTTTAAAATTTATCACTTTCTGAAACAATTGTTACAAATTATCCAAAATCAAAATCAAAATCAATGACTTAAATTAAATTTAGGTAAGGTCTCCTGTGGTACCATTATCATGTCCTTTGATCTATTGATTCTGAACTTGAATTTGTATCCAGTGTGTGTTTAGATGATAGTATTTAGTCTAAAGAGTAATACAAACCCGATATCTTTTCTTTGATACTATAATGCAACAATTATCATGAATTATGTTCATAAATTAAATCCCTTAGAAATAATGTTTTCTAGATATGAAACCTTTTAATTAGACATGTCAAAATGCCACACAACACGATCAACAAACACGAATCAACATGGAATTAAGTGAGTTTGAGTAAGACATTAATGGGTGCGTGTGATAAACAGGTAAATCCGTTAAACCCATTTAATGAACGGATCATGTTCGGTGAGATAAATAATAATTATTTTAATTTTTGTAGTCAGTATAATATATCTAGTTTAATAATTAGATCCGTTAAATTTAGTTTTTTGATGAGTTCAATCTTATAGTTTTAAATACTTTTGTAATGGGTTCACATCACTAAATATCATATTTTTGTGTTATTTTTTTAATTAATTAGCTTAAATATTTATTAATTAGTTATATAAAATTTCTAATGACAATCGAGTCAAATAGGTGACGAGTTAAAAGAGTCATCGTATTAACCCGACTCTACTTAATACAATTCATTTATTAAATAGGTTAAATGAATCGTGTTATGTAACTTATTTAATTGAACAAGTTGTATTCGATTTGTAGATTTTTACCTATTTTATTAAACAAATTGTGTACAAATTAAATAACTTTTCATCCAAATCCATTAGAATTCGCCACAAAACCACTTAATTCAACACAATTGACATATCTACCTTGAAGGCTAAATTATATTTTATTTATGTAAATTATTACCTTTATTTTATTTTACACTTTAAACTATAAAATTTCTCACATTACACCTGAAAAATATCAATTTTATTTCATATCATTTCAATAGGATAATGATTATCAATTTTTTGATTGTAAATGCGCTTGTGAGTGGTCTATATTGTTAATAAGTAACTGCCTATTGCACATGTGTAGGTTAAAAGTCAAGAAAAATATCTATTCATGACTTTGCCATTCCTAAGCTCCAAATTTTATTTCTCTGGCAGATATTTTTTTGCTTTTCAACAACAATTTGGCTACAAAAGAGGTAAAATAAAGTGGTACTAGACATTTGGTGGGAAACTCTTTGGGGTTTTTCTCCGGCCTTAGATAGATTTGCAAGTTTGTCACTATTTATTAAATTAATATGAAATAAAATTGATATTTAAGGATATAATATAAGAAATTGTACAGTGAAGAGTATAAAATAAAATAAAAATAATAATTTAGGAGGATTAAATATAATTTACTATCCTTTTAACCGCTAAGTTGATTTTTCTTGGGTCAAAACCGCTAAGTTGGTTTTTTTTTGATCAAAACCGCTAAATTGGTTGACTTGAAGCTCTTTGGACGAATAGCGGGCAAGGGCACAGGGTTCTGGGTTCAGGGGTCATTGTAACAGGCCATTTATTTTTTGTAAAAGGGTTCCGGGGTCGGGGGGTCATTGTAACAGGCCATTTATTTTTTAAAAATAAAATATCAATTAATGTTATATTGATTAAATTTTAGAATTAAATTAAGAATTCAAATGCCATGACAGTATATGATTTAGAGTCTTTATTAAGACCCAAATGACATGATACTAAATAAAAAAGTCTAAATTAACTGTCATATCATTTAAACTCTTAATTTAATTCTAAAATTTGATCCACGTAATATTATTAAATATTTTATTTACAAAAAATAAATGGCATGTTACAATGACCCCTGAACCCTCGGTCCTTGCCCGCTTTTCGTCCAAAAAGTTCCAGGGCAACCAACTTAACGCTTAAAAGTAGAGTAAATTATATTTTATCCTCTTAAATTATAAATGTCCTCGAATTTGAGTTTGAGTTAGCTGCTCTGGTTCTAGTTGAAGACAGGACAATATGAGACCGGTTGGTTAAGGTTAAAGATGGCGCAAGTAAACAGATGATGTGTACCGACTCTCCTTGTAAAGAAGGAGAAGTTGGCATGGTGTTTAATTCATGGTGTTGGCATGGTGTTGAATTCAGCTGACTACTCCGCCGGCCCTTCGACTAGCACCACCGAGCCTCAATCGGTCCTCGTCGAGGCTCCAACTTGGGAACTAAATTCGACCCTTCATGGCCGCCACAGGGGTTTTTTCTCTAGATGACGAGTTCTACGAGTTCTGGTCCGGCCTAGGCTCTCCATCTCCCGAATCATCTTTTCTTCTCTGTGGAATTCAGATGACTTCTCCGCCGGCCCTTCGACTAAAACCACCGGGCCTCATCCGGTGCTTGTCGGGCCTCCAACTTGGGAACTAAATTCGCCCTCGGTGGTCGCCACAGTGGATTTTTCTCTAGATGACGAGTTCTGGTCCGCCGTAGGCTCTCCGTTTCCCGATCTATCCTTTTCTTCTCTGTGGATTTCAGATGATTTCTCCGCCGGCCCTTCGACTGACACCACCGGGCCTCAGCCGGAGCTTGCCGAGCCTCCACATCGGGAACTAAATTTGCCATCCATGGCCGCCACACGGGATCTTTCTCTAGATGACAAGTTCAGGTCCGCCGCAGGCTCTCCGTGTCCCGATGGCACCACCGGGGCTCCACCGGTCCCTGTCGAGCCTCCAACTCGTTTCAGTGAGAGGATTTTCAACCTTTACTCAAATTTTAACTTAAATTTGGATAAAATTAAGTTAAAAACAAGTTCCAAAGGTAGATTTTAATCTTTATTCAAAACTCTTCTCTTTTTAAAGATTTAATGATCATATTCAGGAGTGACGACATTAGATTATACTAAAGTGCCTGAGCAATACAGTGTCAAATTATCTGCCCACGATCTACTACGTTTTTATGTTTCTGGATGATGATACCCATTGGCTGTATTTTCAAGAACGTGTCTGAACGTTTTCCAGGGCTGGGCAAAGGAATGACAGTGGAGGTTAACAAACACCTTGGACTTTCTGAACCGTATTTTTTTGTTGTTGAGTTCAACCACACACCACAGGGGGAAAGCATAAATTGGAGAAATGTGGAGATTAATTATCCAGATATTGACAAAGCCTTCAAAGACCAAGAGGTCATTCCTTCCCTAATATTTCTTCTTCGTTGTGGTTATTAGATAGTGCACCATTTCCTTATGGAAACTCTGTTTAAATAATTTGATCATATGTATTTTTTGTTCTAACAGTCCTACGTTACTCTTTTTGAGCGTCAAGTGATGGTGATTGGACAAAAATTAGCATATCTTCGTCCAGATGCTAAAGATTTCAGCGTCCTCAAAAAGATACGCCTCACTCCTTCCCTAATATTTATTCTTGAGCTAGATGATGCTTCATTTTCTCGTGGGAATTCTATTTGAATGCTTGCTCTTATGTATTGTTTGTTCTGGACAGCACGGTGCATACGATCTTGTGCTCGAAGTGGAGGATTTCTTACTAAATAATAGAAAAGATTTTCTCCCGAAGAGTAAATTTTCTCGCTGCAAAGAGCTAGAGGTCCGTTCCTTAATATTTATTCTTAAGGTTTTCACAGTGATATTGGACGATGCTTCATTTCCTCATGGAAATACTGTAAGGGCAGACCCATTAATCTTTTTCTGGGGATCCCTTGTTACATCTCGGTACAGAGGTCTTTAAGGTGGCAACAACATTCACCTTTTGCTACCTTGCCTTCTGGTTTTCCAAATGGATTATCCAATTGTACCAGCCCAAAAGGAATTATGTTTTTTTTACTCTCTTAGGGTTAGGATTTAAGTTATTTTTTGGTAAAAAAGAATCATTTATATTGAATTTTAAATGAGCAAGTACAAAAGCATTTACAGATGAATGAAACAGTACACCATATTAGACAAGCAGTACATAGTAATCTCATCCTACTCCATCTCTTGCTTCGTCCGACAATATCTTAACCTGATTGTATTTTTGCAGTACAGATTTTTGCTGATTGTGCCCAAAATTAATTAGACCCATATATATATTTTAGTTTACTTGCTGATTGTGGTGCACTTCCAGACACTTTATTACTTAGGCATGTACCCTTCTATGCACCTAATGTAACCCTTAGGGCAAAACATTTTTTGATGAATAATATTACAGAGGAGGCTTTTGTCTCTTTTTTCCAATTATTCTGATATTCTTAAGAATCAACAGATAAATTGAAGTCTTGAGGATAAGTATTCTTTGTGAATTGACAAGCCTAGTGTAAGATTCTGAACCGGTATTTATGCCAAAATCAATGGGTTGACTTCATTCTATCTCCCAACCCCTTTCTTATCCCTCATACCCGTGTTTTTACCTGCTTCCTCGCATCAAACATGCTTTATCAAATCCTGCTAAATATTCCATCTGGAGTCTCTGTATCTTTTAGAGTGATCACTTACATACTACTGGTTATCCTGCAGCCTGGTGGCGGTAAAATTGAAGTGCACAGAAATATTTGTTCAGCCATAAACTTATGGTGTCCATCTTTTTTCTTTATTTTTCTTTATTGATCTCTTCTCACAAAATACTTGACATTAATTATGAAACAGATTGTCTTTGGACGAATGAAACTTCAAAATGTTCAGATGAAAGGCATATCTTCTGGTGTCATCCTCATGTGTATCCAACTAAAAGGCAGATATGTTATGGGGAGAATAGACATAATTGGTCATCGGAAGACTCAGGTATCTTATGATTATCAGATATTTAGTCTTTTCTCTTTAGTAATATTTACTGATATGTTCTCTGAAAATACTTGACCTGATGAACCAGTTTTGCAATGGACGACCGGAAATTGCTTTCGGAGAAGGACTGCGAGAGGAAATATTTGTACAAACTATCAAATCTTTTCCCAATAACGAACCTGATTTGAGTCATGACTATGTTCAAATATCTCAAAATACTAGGTCTCCACAAGGTCCTCAAGCTTATCCAAATGGGGCAGACATGCGAATAGGTTCATCTGAGCAGCAACCAATGGTAGACTTTGATGTCACATGCATCAGAGGGAACATTGTTATTACGGATCAAAGTGACATTCCTGTTACAGATTCAGAAAAGAATAGCAGAAAAATGATATCTCCATTACTTAGTCCAGAGTTTCTTCCACAACTTTATGGAACGAAGCTCGATGATGCTGCAAAGTGCCTTGGTGGTAAAGCTTATAATTTTTAAGAGTTTTTATTTGTGATCTAGATTTTTGTTTTTCACCGGCTAACTTCTTGTGGGGAAGCTAGATTTTTTCTCTTATGCAGATCCTTTGTTTGTAGTTAGCCGAACTACGTTGAAGCGCTTCTGTAGGAAGCATGGGATCTTGAAATGGCCATTTCGCAAGGGAAAGAAAGGTAGTAACGACCTCCCTAAGCTAAATTGTGGAAATGAATCTGTACGAGGTACTGAGGGAGCACTCTATCAACCTAGTTTCGCTCCAGTTTCCATGCAGCCTAGAACCTCAGCTAGACAAATGCCCACTGAGCATAAAGTGTCTCCTATTGTTGATCCAATGCCAGATGTTGCAGCAATGCAAGATATGAAGACCTTCAACATAAAGGCCACATATAGAACTGGTATTATACAATTTCCGCTTTCTTCTTCGTCACGAAAGACAGAGTTAGAGGATAATGTCTCAGAGAGTCTGAAGTTGATGCGTGGAAAGTTTAGCATCAGCTACCTGGATACTGAGGAGGGTGATTGGATTTTAATAACCCGTGATAAGGACTTACAATATTGCATGGATGTTTCGAAGCAATTGGGCAAGAGGACGATCAAAATGTTGATTGAGGACATAGGTTCGGTATAGATAGTATTTGTTAAATACTAACACACCTTATCCGCCAAAAAAAAACAAGAAGAAGAATAGTAAAACTTTTTTTTTTAATATGCTGGTTGTGCACTAAGATTTATTCTAATATAGGATTCTCTTGATGTTTTCTATGTCAAATCACTTGTTATAAATTCAAATGAAACTCGCTTCATACTACATATAAATTACTAATCATTTCATGATAATTGATGTAACACCAACTGAATTTAATAGCGGCTAGAATTCTAATATCCAATTCTAAGACACTCAATTTAAAACATGGACTACTTGTAGCTTTTATTGATTGCTTATATTGATCGGATTAGAATGACTCATTTTATGAGAACGTAGATTCTCAATAATCGTTAAGGGGTTTTTTTAGATTTTGATTACGATAACCAGAAGTTGATAATGGGGGAATGACTTTAGACTTTGGCCTCGATGAATTTTCATATTTAATTGCTATTAAGTACTCAATTCACTCTTTCTGTAAATCTAACATCCTTAATAGGTCTGGCTTCTCAAATAACGTCTCACCCAAGTGTTGGACTCAAGCCTCTTGCTTTTCACTTTCTAGCCATTGTGCTCCAATCTATTCTTAGAGAGAAACAAGGGGAACCAAAAAGAAAAAGAAATTAATCACTATATTACTGGTGAGACTCGTTTTTAATTCAGACATAAATGAATGAATTCTTAACTACTTATAAAACCCTAAATATGAAGTTTTGTAACAGTTTGTTGGGAGTGTTATTTGTTGGGAGGATGATCTTATAGATGTATAAAACGTATTGAATTTTTGATATTAAATTATATAATTATGAACAAAATAGTAGCACATTAAAAACTAGTCTGATTGTCGAATAAAAACAGTTTTAAGAATTTGATGAAAGTTAATGTTTGACAGATATCCTTAAAAAACTCAAATTTTTATATCTAAAAACTATTTGGGTGGAACATTGTTGACTACAAGTTAATGCTTTGTAGTCTCATACCAAACTATATATTATATATATATATATATATATATGTACCAAAACTCACTTTCCTGAGACAAAGTACAACAATCTCCTTCTTGGAGGTTATAGAAGATGAATTTTGGGCTCTGTTTTTAAGCATAAATTTATCAACCAAACGATCTCTTATAAAAGAATGACAGACTCTCACAAGCCACACCATTCCCTCTCATACCCAAACCATTTCAATAACTCTCTCTCTCTCTCTCTCTCTCTCTGTGTTGCTAGAGATTTTTTGTTCATCACATCCGGGAAACTAAGAGGATGAAGGTGTAATTACACTCCGCTGAATACAGCTAATTAAATACTATCCAAAACCCAGAAATTTATGCTAATTAGTATTTGTTTGGTTTGTTTTGCTGCAGCAAAAGGTGGTGATTAGGGTGTCAATGAATGGCCAGAAGTCTCGTTCCAAGGCCATGAAGATCGTCGTTGGTGTCTCAGGTAAGGAAATTTTGTAGGTCCGAAAACCTCTGGTTCTTCGGCTTCGGTTCGACTCGATTTTTATTTGTTTAAATTACAGAATAAAAAGATTGAGTTAGATTTTTAAGCTCATTATGTAAATGAACTGATTTTAAGCATCATATGATTCGGCTTTTATAAGCTCAACTTAGTTCAATTTGTCCATGATTAATGCTTTTGTTTTTACTAAAATACCCATCTAAAATATGAACAATCTTAAAACTCATTCAAATAGCTCTGGAACTATAAAAATTTATGAATTTTTAATTTTTAAAATTTGACTTCATGACTAATTCGAGTGCTCATAATATTTTGTCGAATTGAGGTTGATCAAGAACCATAATTTTACAATCGAGCTCGGGAAAATTAACTAGTCACAATCGAAATAGGCCAATTTTAAACAAATGTGAAGTTGACAAAGCTCAACTCGACTAATATTTTTATAATTAGTCACGCTGATCCAAACTGCACCATTTTGTGACTTCACAAGTTGGGTGTTGATCAGAAGTGGTTGCATAGAGAGTTCATTTGTCGATTCCCGACGACGATGTCGATGCCGGAGGCTGAGGCTCGGTACTACTGTTATTTTTGGGAGTTCATAGCTTGCTACTTGGTTCTACTTGGTGTTGTTGAAGTACGGTCTAAGCTACAACATGGGCCACTACATGGCCTATACATGGGCCACCCCTGAGTCCTGAATCTACACTACTGCCCAAGCTTTTGGATTGCTCAGACTTAATGTTCAAAATTGAGGCCTGCTGGACCCATCACATTTGAAGAAAAGGATTATAAGGATAAATATGCTACATGTGTAGCTTATTAAACTGCTCACAAGAAGAGAAATGATTGCTAAAGCAATTCAAACTAGTGAATCCCACCTTGTTTGTATATAATTTTTTTTTCCAGTGAAGGAGAGTTGTCTCAAGGACCCGATTATACTCATGGGTGATACACAAATTAACTTCGAATGCATATAATCACCAACAACCCATGTACACTAATTAAACTTGGGTTTCAGACCCAAACACAAAATGTGCATGTTTTCACTTCGCACCTTTGTTGGACTACTTAACAAACCCGTGCAAGTTGGTTGGAAACAATTTGCAGACATTCTTACAAGTGATAATAAACACCAAAATGCCCAGAAGAATTTGGTTTAAGCTTTTAAGTAACAAAGCTCATCTTTTAACCAAGTTGAAAAAAACATTTATGCTTACTAAACATGCCATCAATAACCAAAGCTACATGAACTTATATCAGCATTTCGGGCTGCGTATATATCAAACTACTGGCCAAAAACTGGATGAAGTTGATAAGCCAAGAGGATGAAATTGAATAGACCCATCTCTCTCTCTCTACCTACCCTGCTTAGTGCTCTCCCTATCACTATATACTTCAAGATCAGATGTGTGTGCAAGAAAAGTACATACTAAGATGGGTATTTAAAGAATTAGTGAAAAGGATAGAGACAACAGAAAATCCAAGCAGAAGTGTCGCACAGAGGTCTTGAAGCGGCGGCAGAAAACGCATCACTGTGCATATATATTAGCATTATCATTCGATAGCTGAGGGTGACAGAACCAACAGCAACTTTGTGTTGCTTTTTGTGGATTTAACAAGTTTGGCATTTTCTATGCATGGATTTTTAGGGTCCTACTCGCGATTTATTGGTTATTTGACCATTTTCAGACGAGGCCAAGGCCATGGCACGAGACAAGTACAGCCTCGATAGGTGTTTGTTTGACGGATTTTCTTCCAGCCGATTAGGCAATTATAAATTTACTATTCTTGTGTTTAGTTTATTGATGTCTCATTCGAATCGTTAAATACTAGCGGCAGACCCGTGTGCACACAAGATATCAAAAATGATATCCCATTTTGTCTCATCATCTATCTTTTTTCAACTCATTTAAGTGTGATTTCATGTAACTTTTGTGCGAAAATCATCCAAAAGTTTGATTCAAATTCATGTAAATATAAAAAAAATTTGTTGAGAAATTAAAATCAGTTTTCATTTGAGTTGAATTTGAATATTTGTAAAATTCAATTAAATTTAAGTTTAAGTAAGATTTTATACTTTATACTCGACAATCAAATTCAGTTCAATTCGAGTTTTAATCATAACTATGTCAAAGTAAGAATTGAATTTAAATTAGAATTAACATTTCTATCTTAAACTTACAAATTCTTATCACCATACTTTTTTTTAATTTTATTATTCTTTATCATTTTTACAATTAATTTTAATTTGACTTTAACTTGAGTACTCGTAAAATTCAAGCAAAGTTAATTTAAGTGAGAATATATATTTTATACAATCAAATTCAACTAAATTCAAATCTTAATCATAATCACTTTGAACCGATAATCGAATAAAATGAAAGAATTCTTGTAATTTTTGGGCGGGTAAAAAATTTGAAGGAAGAGTTTCGATCGTTTGATCAGTAATTTTAAAATAATCTGAGCCGCGAAAAGTTCAAAACAAACAATATTAAATTTCTTATTATATAGATGTTATTTTGTCAAAAATGAAACATCATGCTCAACATCCGAGGTATCCGATATGTTCATATAGATGTACAAAAAACATATGTGTCGCAAATATTCACAGAGGTGTAGTCATACATACAACACTTGTCTATGATCAACGAAACCAGGAACTCCAAGAAAATGCAAAAGGAAAGTGAGTATGAATCACATCTACAACAAATTTTTTTTTTGTGTGTGTGTGTTGAGATTCTCGTATAATCTTCGAGACAAACCACACTAGAATTTTCCGGGCTCGTAGAGAATACAAAGTATGCCATTGTCCCTTTTTACTAAGCACTCTCAGATTCAATTCACTTTTGTCAGCTGACGATTCATGAAGCCCTTCTTTTACCACTAAATTAAGAAGGCACATATACCCAGAAGGCACATGCCCACCGACAAATATTTTTTCTTAACATTATTTAGATATATTTTAAGTATTTCTTCAATATTTTTAAATATGTTCACCTTATTTTTTTGGTACATTAATTAGTGTATATTTATATCAAATGAATATAAATTTTTTGACACATTTTAGACATGTTATGTATTTATCTAGATAAATTTTGAATATACTAAAATTATTTTATATTTTCTAAAATTAGAAAAGATATGATTTGCATATTAACTAATTTACTTGTGATTTTGACGGTTATTTGTAATGGATGCGATTATACTTATAGTACCAAATTATTATTTTTTTTTGGTATTGTATCTTTATTTTTTATTTAATAAAATAATGTCAATTCTTAATTTTTTTTTAATTTATCACTTTCTGAAAAAATTGTTACAAATTATCCAAAATCAAAAATCAATGACTTAAATTAAATTTGGGTAAGGTCTTATGTGGTACAATCCAACAACTATCATGGATTATGTTCCCAAATTAAACCCCATAGAAATAAAATTTTCTGGATGTGAAACCTTTTAACTAGACCTGTCAAAATGCCACACAACATGATCAACAGACACAAATCGATATGAAATTAAATGAGTTTGGGTAAGACATTGATGGGTGCGTGTGATAAACGGATAGACCCGTTAAACCCATTTAATGAACGGGTCATGTTCGGTGAGATAAATAATAATTATTTTAATTTTTGTAGTTAGTATAATATATCCAATTTAATAATTAGATCTGTTAAATTTAGTTTTTTGATGAGTTCAATCTTATAGTTTTAAATACTTTTGTAATGGGTTCACATCACTAAATATCATATTTTTGTGTTAATTTTTTTAATTAATTAGCTGAAATATTTATTAATTAGTTACATAAAATTTTTAATGACAAACGAGTCAAACAAGTAGCGAGTTAAAAGAGTTATCGTATTAACTCGACTCTGTCTAATATTTTATCTAATCTATCAATTTTTAATATGACAACCAAACAAGCCTGAATTATATAGGATATTAGAATAATACATAATTTTATTTAGTGTTTGGTAGTACACAACATAAATGTTGAATAATAATTCTTTAATTCAATTAGTTGTTTGGTTAAGGAATTATTTTATCGTATTAATGTTGAATTAACAAAAATATCTCTAATCAGTGTTTGTTACATTGATGATAGTTTGATTTTATCAGTTAGAGGGTTATAGTGGTAAATGTGTAAAATAATACGTTTCAGTTGGATTATAATACCATCTCTTTTGGTGGTATTAAAATACTTTAATAATACAGGTCTAACGTATAAAAAATATACGATAAATATACATTTTTGAAATTAATACGGAATATTATTCATGGATTGAAGAAGGAATACATTCCTTTTGTTACCTCTATTCAAGGGTGGGCTCAAGAGCCATCCCTTGTTGAGTTTGAGAATCTTCTCTCTTCTCAAGAGTCTCTAGTGCAACAAATGACGGGGTTTTCTTTATTTTCTCAAGGTGATGCCTTGTTCTCCGAAAGAAGAAATTTTATAGAAAAAGAAAGAGAAAAAGAAAGATGGAGATGAAGAGCCATCAAGGATCAAGAATGGCAACAAAAATGGTATCAAATGTTACTGCTGTCATAAGTTTGGGCACATCAGGAAAAATTGCCAAGTGAAGCTGAAGGGTGGCAATGTAGCTGATAAAAATGGTGAGGTCGAAGAAAATTGGGGTAGTTGTTTCTCAGTGGAAACTACCTTAGTTAATGCTTATGCAACCATCAACTTCAAGGAAGATTGGATCGTGGACTTCGATTGCGGTCATCATCTTACCGATGACGATACCAAGTTCTCTTGTCTTCAAAATTATGAAGGTAATGAGGCCATTATCACTGCGGATAATACAGTTCATCCGATAGAGAAGGAATGTACCATCTTCAACAAAAATGGTGATTTTATCACTCTAAAGAGTGTGTATCATGTACCGGGTATGAAAAAGAATCTCTTTTCGGTGGCTAATGTGGTGGATTTCAGTCACTATGTTTTGTTTAGGCCTAACGAGGTAAAGTTTTTGCGGAATGTGTCCAAAGTAGAAAGGGATATCGTCCATACCAGTAAGAGAGTTAAAGATTTATTTGTTCTATTTGCTTCAATTTCTTATGTTGATAAAATGAGCACAACTTATAATGTTTCTCTTTGGCATGCTAGACTGGGACACCTAAATATGGATAAATTAAAAGTCATGGTGCATAAAAATTTGGTTGATGGTTTGCCTTATATTACTACCTTTAGTAATGGAGAACTATGTGAGAGTTGTCAATATGGTAAGACACATCACCTTCCATTTGATAGATCCTGAATAAGATATAAGGTACCATTGAAGCTTATTTATAGTGACGTGATGGGTCCTACTCGTACATGTACATTTTTTTGTTATCATTATATGATGGTCTTTGTTGATGATTTTACTCGATTTACTTGGATGTATTTTGTGGAAAAAAAATCTGAAGTGATTTTCAAGTTTATGGAATTTAAAGAGAAGGTTGAAGGTGAGCTCCAAAGGAAGATTAAACTGTTGAGGACCGATAATGGAGGAGAATATACTTCTCGGGTGTTCAATATCTTTTGCTCGAAGCATGGCATCCGGAGGCAGCTTACTTGTGCTGACACTTCTCAACAAAATGACATAGCAGAAAGGAAAATTCGGCATCTCACTGAGACGTGCAAGAGCTGGTTGCATGCCAAAAATTTATCCAAAGTCCTATGGGCAGAGGCTTGTGCAGCTTATGTGATTAATTGGATCCTTCTCAGCCCGATTAATATGAAGTGTCCATATGAGATGATGTATGGTGAGAAGCCCAATGTGAAAGACTTAAAGGTCTTTGGTTTAGTTTGCTATGTTCATATTCCAGATTCACAAAGATCCAAATTGGGTGCCATAGCGAGAAAATGTATCTTCATCGGTTATGATGAAAGGAAAAGAGGATGGAAATGTATGGACCCTGAAACTCGCAAATGTAAAGTTTCTCGAGATGTGGTGTTTGATGAAATCTCCTCTTACTATAGCCCGGTGATGTCTCTGTTGGTGCTCCTTCAACAATTAAAGAACATGAAGAATTGCCCATGAGTTTGCTAGTGACTTCTTTGGCTCCTGCCTCTTCTAGTATCTCATTATCACCGTCATCACCAGTAATATCTAAAAGCTTTTCTTCTTCAGAATTAAGGGAGTCTAGTGATAGGGGGAGCAAAGTTAATTCTCGCGTGGTGGAGCAAGAGGAGAATGCTAACTTAGAGGGAACAAATGCTTTAAAAATGACTCAGTCCAGAAGGCAAGTCATTAAGCCAATTTGTTCTTGAGATGGTAATCTGGTAAGCACTTGTCATTACTTTAGAGCTGGTCCTATTTATGAAAATGAGCCCTCTTATTTTGATGAAGCAAAAGGTGTTAAAGAATGGAAGGAAGCCATGGATGAAGAAATGCACACACTTATAAAAAATGAAACTTAGGATCTTGTACCAAAGCCCAAGGATGTGAAACTAGTGTCTTGCAAATGGGTGTACAAATTGAAAAAGAAAGCAAATGGAAGCATTGAAAGATTCAAAGCAAGGCTTGTGGCAAGAGGCTTTTCTCAAATATATGGAGAAGATTATGAAGAGACTTTTAGCCCGATAGCAAAGATGACATCTGTTCGAGTTGTGATCTCTTTAGCGACATCTCTTGGTTGGAAGCTATATCCGCTCAATGTAAAGAATGCTTTCCTATATGGCGAGATTGATAAGGAAATCTACATGGAGCAACCCCTTGGTTATGTTTCTTCAACTCACCTAGATTATGTGTGCAAACTCAAGAAGGCTCTCTATGGCCTTAAACAAGCTCCGAGGCGTGGTACGGTAAGATTGTCGAGTACTTACAATTTTGTGGTTATTTTGTTTCTAACTCAGATTCTAGTTTATTTGTAAAGAAACAAAGATCACTACATATGATTGTTCTACTATATGTGGATGATATGATTATTACCGGCAACGATAAATGAGAGATTGCAAAGCTTTGGGTTGAACTCTTCACTCAATTTGAGATGAAAGATTTGGGAGAATTAAGTCATTTTCTTGGCTTGGAAGTGGAAAAGGTGAAGGACGAGATTCCTCTATCTCAAGAAGGTTATGCCAAGAAGCTTGTTGACAGAATTGGAAAAATAAAAACAAGTACTGTTCCGCTCCTCGTGAGCCTAACTTTAAAATTAGGCGTGATGAAAGTAAACTTTTGCCTGATTCTCGACCTTATCGTGCTCTTGTTGGTAGTCTAATTTATTTGACTATTACAAGACCAGATATTTCGTTTCCGTTGGGCTTGTTAGTCGCTATATGCAAGAGCCACAAAAATCTCACCTTGATGCGGCAAAGCGGATATTGAAGTATGTGAATTCTACTTATGACATGAGACTTCTTTATAAGAAAAGGGTAGAATTTTCTCTACTTGGGCTCACGAATGCGGATTTAGGAGGTGATTTGGATGATCGAAAATCTACCTCTGGGTATGTGTTTTCTTCTGGTGCGGATGTGTCTCTTGCTGTAGTAAAAAGCAAAACTCAATCTCGCTTTCTACTACCGAAGCAGAGTATAAGGCTTCCACTCTTGCTGCTCAAGAATGCACTTGGCTTCGTCGGCTTGTGGGGGATGTGTTTTCACCTATTCATAAACCTACAAAAAATCTTGGTGACAATCAAAGTGCTATAAAATTGGCTAATAATCCAGTGTGTCACGCAAGAACAAAGCATATTGAGATCAAGCATCATTTTCATTTGTGAGAAGGTGCTTGACGAAATAATTGAAGTATCGGAGGTGCAGAGCAAGGACAACATTGCAGATATCTTCACAAAGTCTCTCTCCAAGGGACCATTCGAGAATCTTCGTGCGGAGCTTGGAATTATTTTCAAAAGTTCACTTTAAGGGAGAGTGTTAAAAGTTTAAAGTAAACTTTTGATAATTATTGTATCTAGAACTTTGTAGAACATGCTTGCACTTTGTATCCTTCTACTAACATCTAGAACCTTCACCTTCTCACCACTAAATTAGAATTCTTGAACTTTTCAAACCTCCACCTACCTTGAGCTTCTAGACTATTCTCTAGTCACCTATAAATAGACCCCCCACCACCCCAAATCAGCAAGCCAACAAAACAACAAATCACCAACAACAACTATCATTGCAAACTTGTTCCTACTTTCCCGTTTGTAAGTTTTTGATTGTAAACTTGTAACTTAGATTTCTCCATAATAATAAAGACTTTTTTCTTCCCTCATTTTTGGATCTATATTCTAATTTCTTCATTTTTATTCAACTTCGGTTGTATGTCTTGGGCTAGTGAAAATTTATTTTTTACTATTCTAAGAAAGCAATTTCCGAAATTTAGAATTTGTCTTTCTTCACATAGGAAGCATAGGATCTGGAAATGGCCATTTCACAAAGGAAAGACGGTTTGTAACGATCTCCCTAAGCTAAATCGTGGAAATGAATCTATACGAGTTACCGAGGGAGCACTCTATCAACCTAGTCTCACTATTGGTCCAATTAATCGTGTTGTTGGTTCAATGTGCTGGCCGACCGAATTGAGAGGATCCAACCTACAAAATTTATGTCTGAATTTTCAATAGACTGAATTAATTACATTAGCTCCATATTGTGTCCCAAATACTCCAGTTTCCATGCAGCCTAGAACCTCAGCTGGACAAATGCTCGCTGAGCTTGAAGGATGCTCAGAATTTTTGAATTGTCTCCACGCTTCAGAAGAAGCAGTAGTCCTAGAATCTGTTGAGACAGTCCCTCCATGTTCTAAATTGCCTCTTGAGCATGGAGTGTCTTCTACTGCTCAGATTATGCCATATGTTGTAGTAATGCAAGATATGAAGACCTTCAACATAAAGGCAACACAAAGAATTGGTATTTTACAATTTTCACTTTCTTCTTCATCTTGAAAGGCAAAGTTAGAGGAGAACATCTCAGAGAGGCTAAATTTGAATCTTGGAAACTTTAGGATCAGCTATATGGATACTGAGGGCGATTGAATTTTAATTACTTGTGATAAGGACTTGCAATATTGCATGATTGTTTCGGAACGATTGGGCCACAATACAATCAAAATGTTGGTCGAGGACATTACTAATACGTAAACTTGAATTAAAGGGTTGTATTTGTATAGTGTTGAGCATGTTTATTGCACTTTTCTCTATTGATTTGTCCTCGCTTTCTATTCTATGCATTGTGGAAGATTCCAGTTCATATTGTTGTTAGCAGACTTGAGGTGCCCACATACCTCATTAGCTTTTATGATAATATTATATTTATAAACTAGTTAATGCCCGTGCCTGAAGACACTGTGTAATTTTTAAAACAAATATTGCCAAAAAAAAATCAAAATTCATTGCAACAAGTGTTTTCATCCATTAGAGTGTTGAATATTAGCATAGTTGAAATCCATCTAGACTCACCAGCTTAATTTAAAAATTACAATAAAATACCCACTAACTATAGGACCACAAAATTACAAAAAATATGTTGTGTATTGTCCCACACACAATTGAGAAGGACAAATATTTAATCAAAGATTAGGTCAGATTTAAAGATTAGATACAACAAAGCAACCATTTTTATCCATCTACTTTCAATTGCATTTCATCAGAGTCGAATAGAGTCAAAGTTCTTTTTTTTTTTCAATAAATATTTTTCATTGCTATAAGAGAATAGATTCTTTAAATTGTTTATTGACAACCAATCAAAATTAAGGAGTTACAAAAACTTATGGGGAATCCTCAATATTGATTTATGAGTTTTTGTAGCTCCTCAATTTTGATTGACTGCATGTAAATAATTGTTTACAGGCTTGCCTGTAAAGAATTTAATTTCTTGTTATTATTCTTTCAAATCAAGATTCAACCTGTTCAATGCACATAATTAGAAAAGTGATCAAATCATGAATGCCCAATATCAAGATGTTGCATAACTTATAATCCCTTATCTTGAACATAGAAAAAGACATAGATTTTATTGGCAAAAAAAAAAACTCAAATTGTGATGCCCCAAAATCCGGGGGCCCGTTAATCACCCATCAACTCGTGAAATATCTATGGATATCGTGTAACTAGATATCACGCCGTTGTGTCCCATTTACCGAGATCCACAATTTCACAAAATTTGGGCAGAGTCTCCTTTGTAGGGGGAGCTCTACCCAAAATACAACCTGTGCATCATACAATTACATGACTTATCCAATGTTCAATATATAATATTGACCACACTGGGTCTATTTAAAATAAACATTGACCACACCGGGTCTGTTTAAAAGTAAACATATAATAGCATGCAAGATTTCATTAAAATAATACAAAAACTACTTAGTGAAATGTTTTGCAAAAACATAGTTTTTCACAATAAAACTTGTTATCTACAAGTTCTATTACAAGTCATTTACACGGTTATACGTCAAAATGGAATCAAACCTAAGTTTTACACAAAATTTGATTTCCACAAACTGGCTTTTCTTCATCCTCGAGGCCCCGAATGTGTGTCATACGCTGAAATATGCCCCGCACGTGAAATGTGTTCCCGTATAGGGTGAGTCAAACCCAGTAGAGTACTTCCTACAGAGGTTACTCCCCACCTAAGCGCATATGAATGTATACATGCAGTAATACACAACCAATATCCATTCAAATGCAAGAATATGTAATTCATGTTGGAATCTATCGTGTCATGCCATGAAATGAGATGAGATTCACACCCGCATGTCACCCCGAGCCCTCACCGGCTCCCACCACACAATGCAATGCACATGTAAAACCTTTGTCATTGATGGAATACATTCAATGATCATTTTTGAAATACAATTCATGTGTTTATAAAACCAATTCAATTTTAGATATTTTCCATCAAATGAATGTTGTTTATTACAAAATCATGTGTCTTTGTTGGGTATTGGATTTCGGAATCACACCGACTGGCTTCGTACGCCATTACACTTTTCAGAATTTCACCTCAGAGAAGTGTATGAACCAAGTAGTCGAGTTTTTCACCCGAGGGAGTGTCTAACCCTTCTTGCTATATCCGACACAAGTTTTTCTTATGCAACCATGTGACTACATTGGATCTTCGATCCTACATTTTTGAGTCCACATATCAATCACCAAGAGTGGTGTTTGACTATACCATGCATACACACCCACACTCATGCCTAAGCCCATGAATGTGATGCCAATCTCATGCCCAAAATGCAAGGATGCCAAATGAGCAATTTCAATAGCCATGATATATCCATGTGTAATGAATGTCATATTGATTATGTTCTTTTATCACATTTCAGCACT